ACTTTTAAATAACCCTCGTAAAAGGTTGGTTATTTCGAGGCTCGAAACTACCGTATCTCAGGATGTTCTCGTCATAATAAAGCGGTGATGTATGGAGGAGGCGCTCTCTCTCTCTCTCTCTCTCTCGTTCAGAGCCCCGGGGATAACGGAAGCGAGGTGAATAGGGAGGAGAGGAGTCGCCTCCCTTCTTCTCTCGTGAATCGGGGGAGGGAAGCAGGAAATACGCGACTACCGCGGATAAGCACTCGTAAAAATTGCACTTGTCCTCGTAAACAGCCGGCCGTGGTTGCTCGAGGATAACACGCGTTCTTTCCTCCAAGATGGTTAACTCGCCATCCTCCTTTCTTCTCCTTGTTTCTCTTCCAGGGGAGATAAAATTGAAATCGATAAATTAATAAATTCGAACCACGATATACATATTTCAAATATATCGAGATTCGTGCGTTTTATTTTGCTTCTCTCGTTCGAATTCGAATGCTGGTGGAGTATATTGGAATATTGTTTCGTATCTTGTTTCTAATCTTGGATGGAAAGGAGTTGGCTTGTGAAAAATTGTGTGGTGAACGAGGAGGAAGAAAATTGTTGCGAAACTGCTTTTTTTTTTTTTACTTCAAACTCGAGAGTTTTCGTTATTGTGAATCGAATAAATCGATCGAATCCAATCGCAAAATGTATAAATGGGAACGAATAAAGAGCGAGTTTTTTTCTTTTCCTGTAGCAAATACAAGGATTCGCGTTATAACGAGCGCAAAAGGGCGAGGGATGAAGGACGGCACGCGGCGGGGGATGGAGAACGCGATAGAGGAGCGAAGAAGAATCCGGTGGATCGATGAAATTAGCATGAAGCGTGAAAAGGGTGGCCGTTCGTCGAAAAGGGTGGCCGGATAGAGACGTCATAATATTATCCTCGCTTGATTCCGAAACGATCCGATAACCATTATATGCGTAACGTGGATTATCTCGAGACGACGAACGCATCCCGAAACAACGGATCTAAATCGGTTAGATAAAAATTTTATCCAAACTTTCAGCTCGCTCTTCGTTCCATATACATTTTTAATTGGATTCGTTCCTCGATTCATTTACTTAATTCGTAATAACGAAAACTCTCGAGTTTGAACTAAAAAGAAAAAAAGAAAGAAGAAAGTAGTTTTCTTATAATTTTCTTCCATACAATTTTTAAAAATCGTTATTTTATTTAGTTTAGATATTTCCCTTTTTGTCATCTTGAAACGTAACTCTTGAAATGATCGTGTAAAAATTCCATCCTTTCTCTCGATCAACCCCTATTCTTTTATCGCTTAAAACTTTATTGGTATTTAGTTTTAGACACTTTACGAATTTATATTAAACATACGAGGTTCTGTATATACAGGTATATGTCTTAAAAATGTCGAAACATTCGGAACAAACGAATAAAGTTACTTCAACAATTTTCGTCTGATTCGAAACATAATGACAATCGTAATTATACGGACCAATTACAGCTACAGTTAATAAACGTAGTTATAACGGTAACATTTTAATAAAACGATTCGAAACTTTTAACAAAATTTTTTTTCACTTCTTCTTCTTTTTTGTTTTTTAACGGCCAACTGTGAATATCGATCGAACACGCGCAGTGTTATAGTCGGTCGACGCGTCATCAACGGAAAAGTTGGACGAATTGCAGGGCCACTTACGAATGCAGATGGATTAACGGAAAGAAGCACGAACGAATGGAGGAAAGGCTCGTAGTACGCCTCGCCTCGCCTCGTATCTTTTATTTATCCTCTGCTCGGCTTTCCTCGCTTCTGTCACTTACAGCTCGTATAAATCCCCCCGGCCAAGTCGTAAAAGAATTCCCACCAACCGAGCCCGCCACGTCCTCCTGCTGCCGATAGTTCCGCAATTTATCCTCCCTGTATTTCCTTCCGCTCCTTTTCACGTGAAAATCTCCTGGTTAAATAAAAAAAGAAAAAACTTATTATCCTCGAAATATTCTTCAACCATCCATTTCATTCTCTAACGATCTCAATTTCAACTTTTTCGATCTTCACAAATGAACGAAGGCGACACGGACGACGCCTATTCTGCTACGAGCAGCTACAATATTCGAATATTCGAAAAATTATTTTCATTCGCCAAGCTACGTTGGAACAATCATCCAAGATGGAATATTTTCTATTCGATCACTTCGATAACACGTTCGATAGCTTAATCCTGTACCAATTATAAATTAAACTATCGTTGAAAATAATTGAGATAAGAATTGCTAGCGCGACAATGAAAATCGACTTTTACTCGTGTTATTTTTCGGCAGTTGCAAAAATTGGAAGGAGAACGGAGGAATTTGACTCGTTAAATATGCCGGGAGGATACATCCGAAAATATCGGTTGGTGAAAGGTTGGGGAGGGGGGAGGAGAGGTGTCCAAGGATCGCCATGGGAGATTTTCGTTCCCCGAGGTTTGTTAGAGCCGGTGTCAGGGTACCGCAGCGTTGAAGCGAGCTGACGTCTCGGACCCACGAGCGGATTCATCCCCCTCGGTGCGCGCACTATCACCAAACACGAAACAGACGTGCACTCTCTCTCGTCCTTCGACGTCCCCCGACGTCCTTTCCTTCCTTTTAATTCTATCCTTATATATATATCTCGACTTTTGCGTATAAATGTATCGAACACGATCAACTGGATACTTTTCCATTTTCCATTCGAGCAAATAATAATTTCGAAAATAATAATTTCCATTTTTCACTGTAAATGTCTCTCTGATAAAGAGGAACGCGTAATTTCGAAAATAGCCATACTTTTATCATGGGCTTCGTTCGACTTTTCGATTTTTCACTGTGAATAAAGCGGAACATGTATCTTCGAAAATAACGATCCGGACTTTTATTATTCTCACTTTCAGCGATTTTTCCCTCTAAATATCTCGATAAATTGGAGCATGTAATTTTTTGAAAATAACAATTTGGATATTATTTTTATCACTAAAATACCTCGATAAATTGGAAATTGGGTATATTTACTTTTGTTAAAGAATTTGACAGGTGTTGGAGACCGATACATTCGATAGAATAATAATGAAATCTTCTGTTCTACGTCGTTTTCATCAAAAATCCATTACTCAGATTCGCGTTGGGATATAAACATGAGATGCTCGAGCTTGGTTCGAGAAATATCTTCCGCCGATATTTACGCGGATTCCACCATTTTCGATAATCAAAGGAAATGGATTTGTTTCGCGTTAACGCGACGCAACGACACGCACAAAAGCGGTCACGTCGAGGAGTCACTCGACACACAATGAAGAGAGAGAAGTCGTTGCGGCGAGGAAGGCTCTCTCCGCGACAAAGGCGACGTTCGAAAGAACGGGAGTGCCAGTCAAACGACAATCCCGCTGTGACATCGAGTGTCCTGACTGTTTGCCCCGTTTCTTCCTTTTCTCCCTCCCCCCCTCTCTCTCTTTCGTTTCGTTTCATTCATATATATCCCTTTTTTTTTTTTTTTCTTTCCACGGTCCGAAATGTCATGCCGCCGGTCCCGTGTCACCCTCGTCGTTAACGAGTGACGATCGTAACCATAAACCATAAGAAATCGATCCCACAATGCGTCTCCTTTCCGCTCCACTTTTATCGCGAGTGCCACTTGTCCGTGTTTTTTGAAATCGGTGACACGGTGTTTTTCCTTCTCCTTTCGTTTCATTATATGTACACACACGCACGCACACACCTCCTCTCGAGAAAGGGAGGAGGGTTTCTACGCAGGAGCTTTGTGCGCTCTGTTTTTTTCACGGAAGCGAGGTTAGGTCACGATTAGAGTAATGGTAAGTGTTCGAGGTAAGTGGTGGGGGAATTGATCTCAAGTCTTCGGGGCAAATGTGATTTTGAAAGTGACGGATCGATGTATAGTTCGTACGTCAGCTTTCTTTTTTTTTTTTTTGGATGGATTATAACGAGATCAATAAGGACACGTGCACGTTGGATGGAAGTCGGTCCTTTTGATATCCGCGGCCAAGGAGAAGATTAAAAATTTTATTTTCCACGAAAGGATGTTGTTGTGGATTGAAAGATCGTAATCGTTGTTTTTCGAAATTCTTCGATCCTCGCTCGAAAAGATTCTTCGCTCGGCGTGTCGAAAAGAATCTAACGGGTCATCATAATATCATATTGGTAAATATAATAATAACTAATAATAATAATTCCCAATGTTATCACCTAATATTCTAAAAATTCCGAAAATCTCCATTCGAAAAGATTCTTGATGGCAAAAATTTAACGATTGAAATTACGAATAAAGCTACTTTCAATAATAATCTGAAATAATTGTAAACGGCCAAAGTTTGTACGAAAAGCGAATCAACTACGATAACTACTCGTAACGAACGTTTAATTTCAATAACTGAATTTCGAAATTTCTAAACTCCTCCTCCCCCCAAAAAATTCCCATAAAATTCCCTCCCTCCCCTTCTTCAACCGAGGAAATCGCGCTCGAATCCGCTCGATCGTGTCTCGCCTGGTCCGCGGTTACTTACTTAAGCTCAGGCAGCGGAGTCCCCTTGGAGTGACGCGAGACGTGTATAATCGAAGGCTGAGGTAATTAACTCCCTCGTGGAGGGCACGCCGCATCATCGTTTTAATTACCACCGCGTCTCTCGTCGCGTCTCATCGGGCAGAAGGCTCCTCTCCTCTCCTCTCCCCGCCGCCGCAGTTTACGTCTACGTGTACTGGCTCCTCGAACCGATGCCTCTCGCGTTTATAATTTAAATCCGATCGAGCCTCTCGAGCCCACGTTCAATTGTCCTAAACGATAACGGGGAGAGATGAGAATCGGCGCCCGTTTTCATTCCTTCTCGTTTGTTATATTCCGCTTCGTTTCGTTTCTCTCTTTTAATAAACAGGTCGACGACAAGGTTGTCGAGGGTTTAAATTTAAACGAGGAGAGAGATTGTGAATAATCGCGAGGGAGATAATTCGAACGATCGCGATGGATAATTTAATTTCGTCCGTTGGTTTTCAGGTGTCGTCCATCAATAGGGTGTTGAGAAATTTGGCGGCACAGAAGGAGCAACGGCAGCAACAGCAGCAGCAGCAGCAGCAGCAAGGTGTGGCCGCTGTTGGCGTGGGGGTAGGTGCTGGTAGCCCGGCCGAAAGCGTTTACGATAAACTGAGACTGCTCAACGGGCAAACGACCGGATGGCCGAGACCCAATCCGTGGTGGGTGTCTTTTACGTCCTTTCTGGATCGAATTCAATCCAATTTCGAACATTGAATTTCGAGAAATTTCTACGTTATATTGTAACGCAATTTGTCGTTGAAAATTACGAGATTTACGAGATTTATAATTCTCTCGAAAATTAGAAAATTGTTAGGAGGGGGAGAAGGAACGGGGAGAAAGGAAAAAAAAGAAAAAGGAGCAAAAGACGGAGAATTAAACCACGAGATCTTTCCATTCCTAAATTTTATTTCACTTTAGGTATCCATCTGGAGCTGGCAGCCCATTTCCATCCCTGCAACCCAGTTTGAGCCCGAGTCATTGTACGGCCTTGCCACCGGATCCTGCGGACATTCTGCACGCAAAGAAGGGTAAGTGAAGAATCCAAAAGAATCGAAATTTCATTTCGATCGTGATGCAACATATATCTTGTAATTATAGATAGATCGCACCAATGTTACGGAAAAAACACTCTATAAAATATCTAAACCACGACACCCCTTATCATTAGTATTAAGTTATGAAACCACTTGATCAAAACAGTGAGAAATAATATATTTAATAAAGGAAATAGGAATAAACTACATGTAATAAAATATTCAAACTGCAAAATCCTTAATATTAATATCAGGAAGAAATAAGGTGTGAAATGGCTTGATCAAAGTATGTTATATAAAAAAAAAAATGTATAAAATCCAAACCTTCTCTTATTAGAGAATAAATTATCAAATTATTTAGAAACAAAATTATATAGAAACAAATAAGAAAATATCCAAACGAAGACACCTCTTATTCCCTTATTGATATCAGGGAATAAAATTGTGAAATGACGATTGATCGAAAGTAGAAGAAAGAATATATTTAACAAAGGAATAAACCGCGTTATACGGATGTGACTCGTGGCGATGCCTTTGTTCGACTGTGCCGAGCTCGCTTGTGTCGCGTCGAAATAAACAAATCAGAATCGGAACAGCGGTCGCTGCCAATAACACGTTCCAATTCGCGCATATAAATATACACGATACTCGTATTTTCACACGCGCGTATCGACGTTTAAAAATTAAAATAACTGATCTCCATTGATCTCGAAACTCGCGACATCTCTCTTAACGAACACACTTCACAAAAATTCGATAAAAAACGAAAGAAATTATTTCGAAAACAAAACAACCGATTTTGGAAAAATCGAATTCCACTAATTTAAGAACGCTTTTTCCCGAGGAGGAATAGGCGCGAGATTCCCGCGAGAGAGACTCCCCTCCCCCGTCGTTTGTTTTTCGCTGCTCGTGACACCCTTGCGGCCAAAAAAGAAATCGCGCGTTTGATGTCGCCGCCAAAGGGACGCGATGAAAGAGAGGGGGGACAAGGGAGGGTTGGAAACGCGCGAGGAACGGAGAGAGAGAGGAGGATGTTGTGTCGTGTCGGTCGAGTTACAATTTCGCGCGGGTTGGTCGGTCGGCTGGAACCGCGTTTCCACCACCACCCCCCTCCGCGTCTGTGTCCTTCGGTTAAACGTAACAATTATTGCCGGAAAAGCGGTGCACACGCATGCGGTGCACCGCGGCGGGACCCGGGGATTACATTGATATTAGTATCGTTTCACCCGACGGATTAATTAATTAAAACGCGCTATTTCCACCGCTACTCCATATTCTCGAAACACGCGCGCAAATCCTCGTCTGGATCTTTCTCCCATTGCAGGAATGCAATGGGTAAGGATAAATCGTTGTTGTTGTGCGAATTTTGGGTCTATGTGGTTTCGATCGATCGCGGTTCTAAACGTAAATTTCGTTCGTAAGAGGGGGAGGGGATGATAAGAGAGAGATTTTTTTTTTAAAGATTCGTGTTATATCGCATGGATGATGATTGGTTTGTTGACCCTCTCGATATCGATTTTTCGAAATACGAAAGTGGTCATTGCTGAAAATAAGTCTCGCGTTATTTTCAACATTTGGGAAGTTAGGTTAGGATAGTCGTTCAAGACATTGTTTGTTCGAATGGAAAATTAGATTTTTCGTATTATAAGTGAAATTGGCTTACGCGTATTTCGAGAAATATTTTTATATTCGATATATGCCTATTAATGCTAATGCGTCGAGATTTAGATACGGATCGTCGTTTTATCGCCTCCCCGTGTCGCAATCGGATCACGTGAGATCATACCACGCACAGAAACAAAAATGGCCGGTGAAGTATCCACGATTCTTGATGTTTTACCAAAATTAAATTAAATTTAGTTTATTATCAAATTCTTTCAATTCTCTAAAATACTTTGATTTCTTTTAAAAAAAAATGAATTGAAGTTACTTTTTATAATTTATCGTTTCTAAAACGTGATCAATTACAATGTAGCTACGAATAAATAACATTTTAATAATAAGCGATTACTTAACCAATATTCCAATTACGCAGCATGGATATAAAATTTAATAAAATTGAACTTAACACAAACCCGTTTACAACGTTTTGCCAACTACTCGAGCTAACCTCGTTCCAATTATACCTTCAACTAATCGCTCTTTCCTTTTCTCTGCTTACCACAACCCTAGCCACCGGAGCCACGCTCGTCATTAATGCGGGATGCGAGGATCTGTGCAGGACGCGTTATTATTTTGTATTCCTGCAGGATAGAAGGGATACAATCAAATATGGTAACTGTTGCGAGCGCTCAACCGCACGCGGCCCCGGGGGCCGGATTATCTCTCTCTCTCTCTCCGCTGGGGGCTTGCCGCCAGCCGTTTATAGGATGTATCCCCGTGTCGAGAGGGTTGATTTCTCTCCCTCTTCCTTCTCGATCTCAGATTCTCGAGCGACCACACCACGCACATCTCTCCCTCGTATCTCGATTTATTCGAGGCAGCCCCGGGCCAATCGAAGGAACGACAACTGGCAACAAGCCCCCTTTTTCCGTCGCGCAAAAGCGAAAGCAGATTACGCCGCAATCATCGCGCCCGCCCTCTCCCCGTTTCCTTGCCTCTTCCTTTCTTCACGATGTAAACTCTTCGTCCGATTATTTATTTTTTCGAACAGGAAAATTGTATCTCTGTCTTGGTAGGCTAAAGTGGATGGAAGGAGTTTTCTACGAAAACTATTTATCATTCCTCCTGAATAACATAATTGTCGGTATAAAATAATTTCGAACGTTTTCTACGAGGACGACACGTTTGATTCAACGGGACTTTTCTACCTTACCCGATTCTCTCTTTGCCGCTCGCTCTTAACACGCTGTGTACAAATCGGTTCGATCATCGAAATTACTTTTTCCATCAATATATATATATACATATTCTAAATGTATATTCGGTTGGAAAGATGGAACAATCGGAGGAATAGCGGAATGGCAGAGATGAAACGTCTCGTACGGCTCGTCGAGAGATCCGTCGGTGGTCGGTATCGTCTGCCGAGGCCGAGCCACAATGCATCCCCGAGTCGCATTGTGCCATTTGCGCGAGACACGGGAGGCGAGGCGAGGCGAGGCGAGGCGAGACGCGCGTGCACAAGAATTCTATGAGGGAGGGAGGGTGGTGGGCGAGAGAGGAAGCCGGAATAAAACTGGCGAAGAGAGAGAGAGAGAGAGAGGAGGAGGGCAAGAGACGGCGAACAAGAGAGGCCAAGAAAGAAAGAAAGGAGACAAGGGCGCAAAGAGACTCTCCGTGCTCGATCGAAACGAAAGGGGGTTCGGGTCGTATGCCCATTGTTTTTTCACCTCTCGGGTCCTACGCTGATGCGGGGGAAGTGAAGAAAAAGAGAAAAAAGAAAGAAAGAGGAACGGATCCTGAATGCCATCCTAGAATTTCGATATATATATATATATCTCGCCTCGATTGGAAAAGTTTGAATCTATTTTCACTATTTTATTTATAAACATGTTGGCGTGACAATTTTATATCTCGCGTTAATTTTCGCTCAACGAATTAATCTCGTCGGAGGAGGAAGGATCGTAAGCCAAAGAATCTTTGATTTGATATGAGAGTTTATATAATTATGGTGAAAATTGTTAAGGAGATAAAAAAATATTCTAAATTGCTGCACGTCGTTATTTCGATTGGAAATCTACGAGGGGAGGATCGATAAACTTCGTATAGGAGTTGGATGTTAAACGCGTTGAAAAAGTAATTGGTTTTATTAATTTTCGTTAGAATTTGAAGTTAAATTGACGATGACAAGAAATGAATCGTCGTATCAATTGATCGAAATTGTATGGAGGAGTATTTCGATTAGAAGAAATCTACGAGGGGAGGATCGATACTTGTTTTTTCCACAGAATATCCGACAAACCCCACCCCATCGTTTTGAACGATAAATATATAGTAGAAGTAACTTTACTCGTAACTTATCGAATGGGAATGGAGATGTTTGAAATTTTTATAATAATATCGCAAGAATAATTGATATAATTAAGTAGATGTAGGACCGTACGTTACGTTAAATTATTATTACGTTACATCTGTTAAATTTTCCTCGTACACGCGCAACTATAACAATTTTCTTAAAGAAAAACTGGACACCCGTATTTATTAAGCCTTACTTCTATACTTCCACCCAAGAGAAATTGCTGCGCAAGCATCTGGGTCAACGTCGCGAAAGAATCGTTCCTCCGCACATCTCTCTCTCTCTCTCTCTCTCTCCTCTCTTCTTCTTCTTCAAAGAGTTAATTACCAAAAGTGAAGCGAACCAATGAAGAATCGGGAAAGGTCAAAGTAGACGCAACGTAAACCGGGATGAGGCAAAGCAACAAGCTCGCGAACAAGCTTTGGCTCGCATCACTGTTCGTTCGCATCCGCGGATCCCCTGCGATTTCTCCTCTTCGTTTCGAGGTGGATTTCGAGAGGTGTACACACGGAGCGCGATCTCGATCTCCGGCCGAGATACGAGCGTCGTATGCACGGAAAGTAAAACAATATAATGCGCCCCCTGGCGCACCGCCGCGCCATTATCGTCGACCTCCTTTATCTCCTGCGCCCGATCTCTCCCCCTTTTTTCGCCTTTCTTCCTTTCCTCTCGATACGCATCTCTCTTCTTCTCCCTTTCTCTTTCGCCTTCTCTCTTTCCTTCCACGATCCGCCGTAGAGAGAGAGAGGGAGAGAGCAGAGAGCGCGTTGCAACGATGCGAAACCTTTTATCGTGGAGCAGGACAATGCGCGCAACCCTTCCTCTCTCTTTTTCCACGGCGGCCGTTGTTACGCCGTTCCTCGTCATCGTCGTGGTTGTCGTCTCGCTCTCGTCTCGCGCCTATCTATCCTCGTGGCGGATCCGCGGTATATTAATGGTTCCTCGATACTATATGCCTTTTGTAACGTAACGTTACCATCCCTTCTCCTCGCTTTTCTCTTCTTCTACGATTCAATCTTTTCTTTCCTTCGAGCGCGTTTCTTTCTTTCTTTCTCGGTTTCTTTTTTCCCCTTTCTCTTTTTAATCTTTATTTTTATTATTGTTGTTGTTATTGGTATTATTATTCGT